AATTTATTCATTTGTCTTTGTTTCATCCTCGCTCATTTTCATTTATAAAATATCATATCATCAACATCATGCTGGTAATAGATAGAAAATGTAAATAAATATAAAATAGCCTTTAGTGCCCCGTATATACAAAAGTTATTTAACATTGGCTTTAGTTTTGTTATCATTGTCATCATCGTGTCAAATGAAAATAACAAGATGAGGAATTCACATTAATACAAACAAAAGACATTATATTGCCGATGTCTAAAAAAAGTAACAAAACCCAAACTTTAAAAGTTTATATCGCAATTAAATACATAAATTATTTGTATCCCCAAATACAAAATTTACAAGCGGTAAAATAATTAAAAATAAGATTAATATAGAATAAAATACTCGTAAGAAATTTAATTTTTTAAAAAATGCTTGTAACAAATGAAATTTAGTATTATTCGATTTTGTCTACCTCTATAAATGAAAGAAAATAGATATTTCATTATAGATTTGGGGTAAGATCTTGTTACACAATGTAAAACTCTTTTAGTTTTACAAAATTTAAAATCGTTGGATGAGTGAAAATAGATTGTTGAGAATAATAGTAGGAAATGGGAAGATATTTACTGGAAAAAACATCTATTGAGAATAATAGTAGGAAATGAGAAGATATTCACTGGAAAAAAACAATAAGTAAATCTCAATCATCTATTTTTACTTATCCAACGGTCTTAAATTTATGTAAAACTAAAGAGTTTTACATTATGTAAGTGGATCATACCCCTATAAATTTAGAAATCACAAGAAGCCAAAATATAGAAAATATGTTTATCAAAATTCATTATATATTTCAAAACTCTTATATCTCGATATATAATTTTTAAAACGTAATATATGAAAATTAAATTTAATCACCAATATTTAATTAAAATTAATAGTTAAATAATTTTTTATCAAAACAAAATGACCGTATATTGCCGATTCCTAATTGTGGACAAGTAACAAAAACCAAGCTTTAAAAGTTAATATCGCCCTTCAATATATAAATTATTAGGTAAACTACAAGTTCAATACCTAAACTATAAATTTTATTTTGTTTTAGTACCTAAACTTTCATTTGTTTCAAAATTGTACATAATATTTACTTTTTATTTCGTTTTGATACCTCATTATAAAAAACTTAGCATAATGTTATAACATGACACTTTTTTATGGGTAAATTGCATAATTCATCACTCAACTATCTTCTCATTCTTATTTTGGTCACTAAAGTTTAAATTCTTTTAATTTAATTACTTAGGTTTCAAATTATTCCTAATTTAGTCATTCTAAATTTCAAATTTTTTTATTTTAATTATATATTAATAAAATAATAATACAAAATGTCATGACACAGAAATTATTAACAAAATAAATTAGAATGGTTAAAACATGAACAATATGAAAGTTGAGTAGTTAAATTGATTTTTTTTAAATTTTAATGACCAAAATAGGAATGAGAAGATAATTAAGTGATGAATGATGTAATTTACCTATAAAAAATAGCATTCGGTTAAGTTTTTAACAGCGAGATACTAAAATGAAACAAAAAGTAAATGTTAAGTATGATTTTGGAACAAATGAAAGTTAAGGTGCTAAAATGAAATAAAACTGATAGTTTAGGTACTAAACACGTGTAGTTTATCCTAATTTATTTGTATATAAAGATAAAAAAATTATTCAACCTTACCAACAGGGGTAGGTTCAAGTAGTAAGCAGTTTGATATCATTTAAGCAATGTCTCGAGTTCGAATAATTGTGTATGCAAAAAAAATTCGCTGGTAGACTCACCCACCAAAGCCAAGTATGCGATGCAGGTCGGTCTGGATTAGTCAAGGCAAAATCTTAAAACCGAGAGGACAACAAAATATATATATATTTTAAAAAAATCTAAATGTTTCAAAAATCAAAAGACCCCTAAGATTTTGATACTCAAATCATTCAACTCTTTTGTCCGTCATTGTTACCGTCGTCATCCACATACCCATCGTTTATCAGACTCCATTAATGTCAAGTCTCTTATTGTCACTCATAAAATGGTCTTCGATTGAAAATTGGGTTAAGGATAGTCGATAGTGGGTTCTGCCGCTAGTTGGTGAGGTTTGCTAGAATTTGGGTTAAGGATTTGGGGGGTTTTATGATTTGATGGTGTTTTTTGAAAAGAAGGAAAACATATGGGCTTTTTCTTTTGAAAATAATAATAATACTTTTATTATTTTAAATAAAAATTTTCAAGAAAATATAAGGGTGACAAGTTTTGTTAACGGTAAAATTTAACGGTCGTTATGTTATAAGCACCTAAAAGTGTAATGAACAAAACGTTGAACACATATTTTTAACGAAAAATTCTTTAGACACCTAAAATCAATTTTAAGTATAATTTAAGCACTTATTTTTGTATTAATCATATTTATTTTGTAGCTTATATTAATGATTGCTCTTAATAGTCCCGTCTTCAAGATTTGAAGAAGAATATTTTTAATAAAAGGATTAATGTAAAAATAAGTGCACAAATTATACCAAAAGTTAACTTAGATGTTTAAAGAATTTTTGTTAAAAATCGATGTTTAACATTCTCTTCGTTATACTTTTAAGTGCTTACGTTGTAATGACCGTTTAAAAAAGTTAATTATCCCATTTATACATGAAGTATATCGAATTCTCAATTTCATACATAATGTTTAAAAACTTTCGATTTTATAAATAGTATAGTTCACATACTTTCATAATGGAAGATGACGTGAAACCTAGTAACAACTAATAAAATGACACGTGTAATTTTTAAAAATATTTTTAATTTTTTTTATTAAAAATAAGACCCATTCCCCCTATTTTCCAGATTTTACAAATTTTGCAGATTTTTTCCAGTTTTGCCATAGGAGATTATTCTTGCATTAAAACGGAGCCTGGAAAATAAAGATTCGACGAAAAAGCGATGGGTCAAACCGGGAAGAAAGTGTTCGGAGCTGAAATTCTCGGAAAACGTTTGTCGTGTTCGTGTTCGATGAAGGAGGGAGGAGAAGAGGGTTGTTGTCAGGGAAATTATCGATCGGGTTGGAGTCTTGGAGAAGAAAAATATATATACTCATGCATCCCCCAATTCGAATTTTCACAGAAAAATACTTTCTTTCTCCCCATTTTCGCTTTCCCTTCAACCAAAAAACCATAAGAAAATTTTGATAATTTCACAGGGTAAAGAAATGAAAAAAAAGAAAGTCTTACAAGGCAATTCCCATGACTCAGACTTGTTCAAATCCACCTCTCCAATGGCTTTAGCACTGAAGTTGATCTAGAGTTAAGTTCTTCAAGATCTCAATGGTATTTTAAGGAAAGAGAATAGCAAAAGCCATAAAATCTTTCTTTCTCTCTCCCTCCTCCCCCCTCTCTGTTCCTCTTAATCCCCTTTGTATTCACTTTTGGCGCCCCGAAGATGCCATTCCATCGTGCACAACGCCGGTGACGAACAAATGGGGAAAATTAAAAAAATAGATCTAATTTTTTTAAAAATTAAAATAAAAAAAATATTTTTTAAAAGTGTCACGTAGTGGTTACTGGTTTCACGTAAACTTCGGTGGTAGAAAATATTATATATGAAATCGAAAATTTTTAAACATTATATTTGAATTCAAGAATTCAGTATACTTTATATATGAATAGAGTAATTAATCATTAAAAAACTTATTAAATGATACGTTTATATTTATTTGGAATTTTCCTTTCCTATTCATCTCCCTCTCTCTTAGCCCCAATCCCCCCTCCTCGTCCTCTCCCTTCTAGTCCCCTTTTTCCCCTCCCTCCTTAATACCCAATTAAAATCTCACTCATTAAATTTAGGGTTAGGGATTTATGACACCCATCGATTAAATTAAGAGTTAGGGGTTTAAGAATTTATGTATTTAGAGGTTTGGAATGAAGGCAAAAGCAATAGCCGATCTGTGGGTGGGTGGTGACATAAGCGGTGGCAAAAAATGACCGGCTACGATCGGAAAAGAGGTTTAAAATTATGAATTTTAAGATTTAGTTTTTTTTTTAATTTTAAAGAAATTTGAGATTTTTTAAATATTATTTTTTTAAAATAAAAATTTCAAAAAATATAATATTGACACGTGTAAAATAACGATATTTTTAATGGTTGTTACAGTCCATGCACCTAAAAATATAATGTTGAAAATATTAAACACCTAAAAGTATAACACAGAAAATATTAGATACATATATTTAACTAAAAATTCTATAAGAACCTAAGGTTAATTTTAAATATAATTTGGACACTTATTTTGATATTAAACTTGTTAAAACTACAATATATTCACGAGTATACCTAATAGTTATAATAAATTTTGAGTTATATTTTAATTTTAAATACTAAAACCTATAATAAATTGACTTTAGTTCTCTGTACATCAAATAAATTATTCATGAATTTGTTTGATTGAAAGGGAATGTTGAAACAAATTTTGAATAGTGGTTTTACAATTTTTAGCAATATTTGAAAAGGATGATGATATCTCACCCTCACCTTACAAACCAAACTCAACTCATCTCCATGGATACCCAACTTGCTTCTTTATGGTATGCAGTGCTATCAGCTCTACATATGCGTGCAAACAATCCCAACTCCACATCATTGTTAACACAATTATTTAATTTTTCTAATTCATAAAAATATCAGTTCAATGTAATAAACAAGATAACAAAAACTCATTTATTTATATAATAATTAGATTTGAATCTTTTAATTCTTTTTTTAACTTTATATTGAACATCATTCAAATGCACATTTTCATTAAATAAGTAGTTAATTAGAGTATACAAATTTGTGATCATTGCAATTTTTATGTCACCATCATTATTATATTTGTTCACACATCAAACTCCAAATCTCCTCTCTTCTTCCTTTCTTTCCAAGCGATCTATGGTTTGGTCTAACAGTGGTTTATCCTTCATTCTCTTTTCTCCTTATAATTCCTTCCAATTCCCATTGTTTCCATTGCCAAATCAACAATTTCCCGCGCTTTCCACTAAAGAGCTTCAAAACCCAACGGCAATGGCCATAACGAAGCAACATCTTGACTTCCTCTTCACTCTCTCATTTATCTTCTTTTTCCATCTACATTGCTCAACAACTTCAGCCCAAGCTCCGGCACCAGCACCACCCACTCCACTGGACATCATCAAAATTCTTGGAAAAGCTAGCCAATACACCATCTTCATTCGTCTTCTAAGATCTACACAAGTCTCCGATCGTCTCATTGGTGAGCTCACAGATGCAGACGATGGGAAGACCATTTTCGCACCCACAGATAAGGCTTTCTCAAACCTGGAATCTGGTGCATTGAACTCACTCAACGATGAACAAAGGGTTGAACTGGTTCTGTATCACGTCGTCCCAATTTACATCCCATTAAACCAATTCCAAACTGTTAGTAACCCAATGGGAACTCAAGCTGGAGATAGTGGCGACGGTGCGTTCCCTCTTAATGTCACCACTGCAGGAAATACAGTAACTCTAATGACTGGGCTAACAAAAACCAGAGTTGCTGGCACAATTTATACTGACGGTCAGCTTGCTATTTATCGGGTGGATCAAGTACTTCAACCTTTGCAAATCTTCGCTTCTAGGTCTTCAGGTCCAGCACCAGCACCGGGAAATTCTAGGAAGGCTGCTGAGAAGTCTAAAGCTTCCACCCTTGCCCTGCATAATTTAGCTTTGTTGGCATTTAGCATTATGGTTTTTTAACTTTCTTTATGACAATAAAGGGGGGGGGGGATGGTGTTTTTCATGAGATTCATTGATTTGGAAATTTGTCTGATTTTCTCCATAGATTGATGATGATTAAGGTTGTGATTTGTTTGTGAGAGCGTGTTCCCCCCCCCCCCCCAAATTTGTTCTTTTTTAATGTAAGTTGTACAAAGCGTTTCCTTTAACCAAACTGCTAAATTAGTTTTTTTTTTACTTTAAAAATATTAAAAGATTCATCACAAATAAGATAATACGAACTTGGATACCCAGAAGTTTCAAAGTTCACCTATATGCGTGAGAAGCAGTCTTGAAAATGATAGATTCAGACTCTGCCCTGTAAGAATATAATCAGGCTCATTTGTCCTCTTTTTTATTTTATAGGGACAAGGGTAGTAAAAGGAACAGATTCTTCATGTCAAGTTACTCCATTCAATGGATCTCTAATTCCATCCTCCATCTTGAAGGAGAATATTTTATATACTCGAGGGAGATGGAGAGGGGTAGTTCAGTTTTTTTTTATTATACTAGAGTCGAATTGGATCAAACAGGACAAAAGCTAAGAGCAATTAAATTTAGAGCTGCTATATTGTGAGTGTAGACACTCGTTTTCGTTCGGAATATTAAAGGCATTTATTTAAATGTTTATATTATTATATAGTATATAATATATATAAAATAATTTCAAAAAATGTGAATAATATATAGTTTTTGAAAATATATAATTTTTGAAAATATATATAGATTTCAAAACATATAATATATATTACTTTTGAAAATAGTTTTTTTAAAAAGAAAACATATATAATATATATAATTTTTGAAAACATATTATAGTTTTTGAAAATATAATGTATGTTATATAGTTTTAAAATAAATATAGTGTACATGTTATTTATTATATATATATATATTATGTATATTATAGTATTATTATATTATATTATATTATTATTAAGTTATATTTATTAATATGTTATTTTATTTTTAGGGTCCAATTAAGTGGTCCAAACCAGTTTCCAATCTAGCAAGGGTGTAAGGAAGCCCAACCGAGCAAGCAGTCTGACCCAGCAAGCAAGCCCGATAAGGGGTGGGCCTGACCTAGCCCAATAAGCTCATCTGTCTGACCCAATAGATTAGGGTTTCAAACTTAGAAAGGGCGCCACACAAATGACGCGTGAAGGTCATGCGCCAGCGTCAATCACAGAAAAATCGGAAAAAAGTTTTGCATGAACTCAAAGCTGGATGAAAGTGGTCGAATTTCCAGCGTAAGACTCGGACGAGGAAAATTCCATCCCTTTCGGGATTACAACCCGAAGTAGCCCTTTTCGAATGTTATAAAAAGGCCTCCGGTGAACACAACAGAAAACGAAGAATCATCGAGTAACAAGCATACAAGAAACCAAGCAAAAACAACGAAATCAAACAAGCTACACAAAGACTCAGGCAATACATGCTATATCATACTATCTGGCTAATTTCCAAGTTGGACCCGCTAAAATTCATGATGGGTGTACGCGCTCCCTATAGAAGGTTAGCCCGATGGGAAATGCTTTTATTTGAATTCGACATTGAGTACGTGAGTCAAAAGGCTATAAAGGGTAGTGTCATATCTGACTTCTTAGCAAACAGAACTTCTGAAAATTATGAACCGTTGGACTTCGACTTCCCAGATGAAGATTTGATGGCCATATCTTTAGAAGAAGCAAATACTTCTACATGTGATTCATGGAAAATGTATTTTGATAGTGCATCAAATGCGTTAGGGCACGATATTGGGGCTATTTTGGTCTCACCCAAAGGAAATAATTACCCATTCACTAGCATATTAAACTTTGATTGCACTAACAACATGGCGGAATATGAAGCCTGTGTTTTGGAGATTCGAGCTGCTATTAGACAGAACATAAAGGCTTTGAGGGTGTATGGAGATTCTGCCTTAGTGATCTATCAGCTCCGAGGAGAATGGAAAACAAAAGATACCTAACTAGTGGAATACAAAAAGCTCATTTTGGATCTACTTAAAGAGTTTAATGAGGTCACTTTCCATTACGTACCCAGAGAAGATAATCAGATGACAGATGCTTTAGCCACCTTGGAAACAACATTTATAGCTGGTAGGGAATCTGACATCATGTCAATCGACATGCAATCATACAAATACCTGGAACGTTGTTATTACATCGAAGAAGTGAGAGATAAAAAACCATGGTACCATGATATTCTGTAGTATATTAAAAATCAAAGCTATTTAGAGGAGGCCACTGAAACTGACAAAAGAACAATCAGAAGAATGGTAGCAGGAAATGTCTTTGATGGGGGAAGTCTTATATAAGAAAAGTCATGATCAAGTCTTGTTAAGATGTGTGGATGCAGATGAGGCAAAGATGATTTTGGAAGAAGTGCATGACAGAGTATGTGGAACTCATGCAAATGGACATATGATGGAAAGACAAGTCATGAGATACGGATACTTTTGGTCCATATTGGAGAGTTATTGCATCAATTATGCCAGAAGATGCCACAAATGCCAAGTCTATGGGGATAAAATAAATGTCCTGCCCTATCCTCTTCATGTGATGACGACTCCCTTACCTTTTTCTATGTAGGGCATGGACGTTATCGAACAAATCCATCCAAAAGCCTCAAATGATCATTGGTTATCATTGTGGCAATGGACTACTTAACCAAATGGGTGGAGGCTTCATCATATGCTAGTGTCACTCAGTCCACTATTTGTAAATTCTTGAAAAATGAGATCATATGTCGGTATGGTTTACCAGAAAGGATCATTACCGATAATGCAACCAGTTTAAACAACAAGATGATGGATGTTGCATGTGAACAATTCAACATAAAGCATCATAACTCCACCACTTATCAACCAAAGATAAATGAAGTAGTAGAGGCAACAAATAAAAATATCAAGAAAATAGTGGAGAAAATGACTGAGACATACAAAGACTGTCATGAGAAGTTGTTTTTTTTCCTTGTTTGCTTATTGAACTTTGGTGCGGACTTCAACTGGGGAAACCCCATTTTCATTAGTATATAGGATGGAGGTTGTCTTGCCCATTGAGGTGGAAATCACATTACTCAAGTTTATGTCAGAAGTAAAGCTGGATGATGCGGAATGGGCACAAACTTGTTATGATCAACTAGAATTAATAGAGGAAAAGAGGTTGAAAGCCATTCACCATGGTCGACTCTACAAAAAATGAATGATTCAAGCACACGACAAGAAAGTGCGCCCAAGAATATTTCATGAAGGAGATCTCGTACTGAAAAAGATTTGGCCAATTCAAAAAGACTTCAGAGGAAAGTGGATGTCGAATTGGGAAGGGCCTTACGTCGTAAAAAAGGCTTTCTCCGGAGGAGCACTAATCTTGACTGAAATGGGTGGGCCCGAACTACCCAATCCCGTTAACTCTGATGTGGTCAAAATATATTTCGCTTAAAGTGAAAACCCGAAAGGGCACCTTAAGTCAGAGATTAAAAAAATATTTAGAGTGAAAACCCGAAAAGGCGCTCTAAATTGAAAAAGAAAAAACAAAGAAACAAAAAGAAAAATAAAAGGGCGGGTCCAAGATGAAAATCCGAAAATGACGTCTTGAAACCAAGAGAGGATCCAAGATGAAAACTTGAAAGGGCGGATGTGATAATAATCCTAGATTCGCGCAGGGGAGGTCACGAATCAAAGCAATAAAGCATCACAGAATCCAAGTCTTCGGAGACTTAATATGTGACACCCCGACCCGGATATAACTCTGAGGTGTCACATTGACTTTTAAAACACTTTGACTCATTTGAAATGCGATTTAAAAGTTGACAAAAAAATAAAACTTAATAAATCATTTTTAAACATACATATCAGAACATCTAAACTTTATTTTTACAGTATATGCCAACCACAATCACATATAATTCAAATATTTTCTGATATGATAATCTTCAAGGGTATGTTGTCCTACCCATGCTTACACGGCTTACTCATCGCATAACTTTGAACCTACGTGTGAAATAATCACACACTAAGTCTATAACTTAGTGAGACATTATGGGTAACATAAACAATAAATCATTTTTATAAATTTATAAAAGAAATGTTAAATTATAAAACACCATTCGTCTTATAACTTTTAATATATCTTATTAAACATTGATAAATTTATGTTCATGTTTCTTTTGTGTATACATTACATATCATTAACAATATAGACTTTTAAAAAATATATACTTTTATAATCAATTTTAATTTCATATAAAGTATATATAACTTATACACTTTTCATTTAATATCAATTTGTTTAATATAACATTGAGAACTCAAAGTATGTGAGTACATTGAGGTTGTACACTAATGATGTCACCACATATCACATAATTTGCACCGAAGTGCCACATAGTTTTGTTCTGAAGGACCGCGTAGAATTTGTCCCAAAGGACCACGTAGAAATGTCTCGAAGGACCACATAGATTGTCCCAAAGGACCGCGTAGAACCCTCGACTCTTGGCATGCCAACTATACCCCTAATTCTTATACATATACCTTGGGCTTTAACTTATAATTATTTTTAGTTTCACTATTTAAAATGTGTCTTATTCTTGTAGTATTCGTTCACATAGGGTATATTCGCGTAGAACTTTTTCACGTAGCACATTCACGTAGAACCTTTTTACTTAGCAATATATCATTTTCAGGTAGAACCCTTTTCGCGTAGAACAGTTTTATGAAACATTATCCAAGTTTATTATTTATTCACATAGAACTTGTTCTCATAACATTTAACTTCACATAGCATTTATTCAATATTTATTATATACTCATATTTTATAGTTATTTCATATTACATTTCATATTTCACTTATCAATTTACTCATATGAAGCATATTCACATATATATTCCATTTATCTATTTACTCATATGAAGCATATTCACATATATACTCATAACATTTTATTTTGATCAAGAACATTTTAGATTGGTTCGTCGCAAGTCATTCTCCATTTATAAATAGAATTAGTAAATAACACTCATTTTTGCC